TTTAAATATTTATTATTATATTATATAATTTTTTAATTCAAATTTTATAATAATAATAATAATAATTCTCAAATTAATCATTCTACAGTATATTTAATAGAAAATATTATATTCGAGAAGACAAATTAAAGTAGTTTCTACAAGATATATAATGTTTATATATAAATTAAACACTGCTAAAGCCATTTAATAAGCTAGAAGTTATGAGTTCATTAAAATATTATATATTAAGATTTTAACATATCTTAACCATTTTATTAAGATGAAGAATCGTAGAAATAATTGCTTTCATCGATTCTACTTATATTTGACAGTTTATCTTCCAAACTAAGCGGTGTTGATGGAAGAAGATAAGATAGCGATAGAGTCCACCGGTACCGGCTAGCATCGACGGTGTCGCCTCTAGCGGCCATAATGTCATAATCGAAGGGGATGCGCTCATTACAAAGGAGAGAGTCGTTGACAGCATGGGATTTTCTTAAGTTTTTTTTCCTAAAAATTATAAAAATATACCAATAAAAAAATTATTATAATTTTTTTAAAAAATTTTTTAAATTAATTAATTCAATAAAAACTTTTTTTTTTTTTACTTTAATAGAAATNTTTAAAAACTTATTATTAAAAATACAAGGGGGGAAGTGATTAAATGTTAGACAGAATGCATTATATTTAAAAATTAATTTTAAGATTAATTTTTTCAGTTTAGAAAACTTTAGTTTAAATATTTTTTAAAAAGAATTTAATAGAAATAATAATAATAATAATAATAATTCAAATGAATTAAGTAAGCATTTTATAGAATAAAAAATTGTTTTTGTATGTGTTATTCTATTGGATAAATAATGCTGTAAAGGTTTTTTTAAAAAAAAAATAGAATTTTAAAATAATTTTTTAAGAGGAAAAGTTTGATAAATTTGTAATTTTTTTTTTCTTTTCCTTAAAGATTTCGTAGTGAAATTGGAAAGTTTACAATTTTTTAGAAATTAAATAAAGTAAAAAAAAAATTGTATGAAATTCGGAGAATTCTAAAGATTTTTTTTTTCTAAAATTTAAATTATTTATTATTTTAAATAATTTAATGTCATTATTAAGAATGTGGTATGAATAGAATTATATTAGAATTTTTTTAATTTGAAAATATTTTTTAGAAAATTAAGGCCTGGTGTTAAGTGGAAATGATTGTAACAGGCCCGTTTAGCACTTAACGAAAGAAAGTGACACCTGGCAAATTAATAACGGAGAGGCACATTTGGTGCCAACAATTGGGTTCGCACTCATTTCTATGCGATTGGAGGACTTGTTGCTTTTCAGTAATAATACTACTTACGGGGTAATAAACGTAATTTCCATCATTTACAAAAGCAATTTCCTCAACCGGTTCCTCCTAGTCTCACGTGCAACGAGTATAACATGGCCGAAATATCATCCATAAGCTGTCTTCAAGCTCTTCTAAAAAGTAAGTTAAATCTTTTCTATAATTTTTAAGATTAAAAATTAATATCTATAGGCAAGGTTTCCATTTCTGAATAGAATGCATATATTTCTATAGAATTGACTTCTGTTTATACAGTGTTACGTAGGGCATATAAAAATGCACGTGTAAAGTAAATTATATGCTGCTCACCAGTGCATAACGTGGATTAGTCAACAATAACCCCATCCAACATTATTGATACTCAGGCCTATAGGCTTATCCTCTTCAGGATGACTGTCAAGAATTGCAACGTCCCATTGTTCATTGTATTCAAAAAATACAAAAAAAATAAAAAGGATTTATTTTTAAATTTGCAACTGAAACGCCCATAATTAATATTGTTGGATTTTATCATCTTGGGACACCAAAGGAAGCCAAAAAGTGACTCCTGTCGCTACCATTTAAATCCTTGAATGGAGCGGAGGATAACAGAATAAACTTTAGACCCCTATTGGGTCATAATCGGTGGATCATCATCTAAGTAGACTATCAGGTATACACAACATACTAAACCGTTCATTTATCGCCATCACGTGACAATTTCTCTACCTATAACAACAGTAGATAAGCAAAACGTCAGCACCTCTTAAGGGACCAATTGGGAAAATCGAGGGTTGTTGGGGAATACTTTGTCGCGATATCCCTCCCGATTTACTAAAAGGGGGTGAACACGATCCCTCTATCCAGAACACGAAAACGGTTTGAGACTTTATTGTTGTCTTGTGGGCATAATGGTGCTTGTTCCTCCTACCCTCTTTCAAGAGGCTTAGTACCATCTGTGCCCCCTGTCTATTGGGAATGCCATTGTTGGTCACACAACGGCAACGGGGTACTTTCTTTTCGATTGATGGAGATATCTGATATGTTTGTTTAACGACCCTCTGTGGTAAAGTCGAAAGAAGGGGGTGATGTAAGAAATTCTTATAATGCAGAACTACCTGAGAAGTTCTGATTTATGAGGTATAAAAATATTAAATAAACAGTACCACCGTGTAAAAGACCTATTGAGATGTATCAATAAAGAATAGTGTCAACAGAATCCAGTAGCAGTAGGACCCTCAATGGAACATTGTAAATGTGAACAAACAGGGCTTTTCATAGACTCGTATACTTGGAACGTTTAAAGAGTAATCCCCCTTTGCGGGAGGCCACAGTTAGTTCCGGGGATTAAATACGGTAATCTGCCGTGAGAAGTGGTTACACAAATGTATTAAATAAAACTTTTCCTCGGTTTTTGACGGCTTAGGAAAAGAAAGTCAATTTTGAGTGGTAATGTGTTGTCAGCCGTTCCGATAATGTTAGTGTTAGTATACCCATTGATAAATCAAGTAGTAACAGACATTTATGTATTTAAACCGAACACTTCTAACACTAAATAATACAGAATATTATTTTCCATGAAAATACAGTGTAATAGAAGCTTGATCTTAACTGTATAGAAACACTATTCGACTCACTTAAATAAGAGAAAAACGTAAAGTCTAAATAAAGTAATTTAAATGTCTTTTTTATCTAATTTAGATATTAATTTTCTTTTAAAAATATTATTAAGATACATTTAATGAAAATAATAAGTTAATAAAAAAAAATTCATTTTTAAATCAAGTTTCACGCTAAAGTTATATATTTAATATTTTATTAAATCGAAAATAATCTTTCAGATCTTTACACTGTAATCTGTTATATTTTTATTGAAAAAAAAAATAATAATAATAATAAATATATAGAAGATTTCTCTCGTTTTCTTATCAATGCCCACTCTTGATTGCCCAGAATTAAATTTTCTAGTTAGTCCAACAATTTACGTGTTCGACTTAACCTATAATTAGGCTATTATCTATACCTATTTAATTCTGATTAATAACTGTTTATCAGCGACCGTAATTAATTTGAAAACGATCTCATCATTGACAGATAGATTATCGGGGGCCCCTTTTTAGGTTTACGCCATTCCAGGCCTTCCATCACGATTTTATAAATTAGTGTAAAAGCGATTGTTACTAGAAACTACAAAATTTAAAAATTTTTCAAACTTAATCACTACATATACCGAACAGAACTCGATCATTAAAAAGATTATTATTAAACGTTATTTAATTTTTTTTTTCTTTTTTTAAATTCATAACATCATTTCATAAAAAAAAAATAAAAAAATAAATATTACATAAAAAAGTTTTCTGAAAGGGGACGGATTATATAGCAGGGAGTACGAGGAGCAATTTTTAATTTTCTTATTTGTAAACCATATTGTTCACTTACCACCTGTTGTCATGGTAACGGGACAAGTTTAGTCAGACGACCACCCGGGTCTGAGTAGGAAACAGAAGCTCTCTTCTAACTATTCTGTCCACATTTGTCACCGGGAGGGCAGATTTTTATCAGCGGGCCCGAGGCAGACACGTGGCTGAAGTTTTTTTCTTTTTTTTTTCTTTTTTTTCTGTTTCCCTATCAACAAAGATAAAGGCACACTTCACACGCGTGCCTTTGACTGTGTCATTTGATAAGGACTTTAAAAAAAAGGATCCAAAATATAGACTTTTCTAAATACGTGTCACGTTTAATGTCGTTTTCATATTTACTATAAATTGTAATTTGTCGTTTACGGGTTTTAAATTACTTTAAGTAAGGATCTTAAGAAAGTTAGTAAACGATTTTAAAAGAAAACGTTTTAATATTAAGAAGCTTTCGAAACATTTAGAGATTACACCTGTAAAATTTATACCAGATTTTAGAATTTATGAGTTCTTTTAATAGTTGTAAGAAGCTTCACAGAAAATATTAATGAATGACAATTTATGATGTTTTAATATTCTTTTTTTTTTTTTTTAACATGATCCGGAAGAAGGTTATGCTGTGAAGGAAGCGTTATTCTGACAGATGAGAGATGAGAGCCTTTTCAAGTTGGGTCTCAAAATCAGTAAACCGTAAAACTTGCCCAAAATAGACCGTCGAGAACTCACGGACACATCCACTCTCACAAAGAGCAGGGCCAATGGCCGCCCCAAACCACCTACAACTCTGCGAATGCCTAAAGGCTATTTTTCGCTGATTACAGTAAAAGAATAGAAAGAAAACTAGGCCTTCTGTATATATAGAGCCTGTAAACAATACATATTTTACTAAAAACCGATAGCGATTTGATTTATTGTAAGATAAACATTCGTACCATTATCCGATGAGGAATGTATTTATTTTTCTACAGGAATCCTTTATTAGGAATTTATAGGAGAGATAGATAAATAAATAATTAAATAAACTAAACCCCTTTAAAAGCCCGCACACTTAAAAGGATTTAATTCATTAAAAAATAAACTATTATAATTATTAAATACAGTAAAAATATTCTAGTTTAGTCGGCAAAGTCCGAAAATAATAAATTTTATTTATTTATTTATTTTTCGTAAACTCTCTTATATTTTTTTTGTAGTAGTTTTGACCGATCCGAGGAATCCTTAACCGAATTTCTGGTATGATTATTTCGTCGAAAGATCAGAGAACGGTTACGCATCACAAAATACGGAATGATGGGCAATCATAGGGACCCAATTATTATTTCCTCTATCTACCACTAGAAGGATAGAACCCGGAAGTGGTACGAGTCGGAGGACCCAAATTGTTTCGAGGTCAAAGATCAGAGGTCGTTGATTTTATTCTTCCAATCTTTTGTAATGAATAAATATTTGATTCAAAACTGGTTCATCTTTATAGGAAATCAGAATGGTATTCGAATTGAAAACTTTATTATGTGAATCGATTTAATTAAATATCATAGTAGCTACTGACCTTGGAACGAGAGAAGCACGAAAAAGACCCCCTTACAAAGTCTTTCTAAAGAGTATTGAAGTACACTAATAATAATAATAATAATAATAAAGAAAAAGGCCTTTAAATTAGATCTATTATTTGGACTTCTCTCAAAATTAGATTGGACATAAAACTTTTATTATTTATAAGAATTAAAAGAGATTTGTAATA